TAACAACGTATTTATCCGGGTACATGTGGACAGAGTTTGTTTTTAAAACGAGGTGGTGTGGATGCAAGTTTTTGGAGGGGCGGATATTCGTTTTTAAAAAACCCCGGCTATGTGTGGACTAGGCCTTAAACACCTTCGTTGCGGTAAAGCTTTTAATATAAGTTTTTACCAGGTATTTTAGTCAGTAGATTGTTGTAGACTTTTATCAACTTCATTGTGCTTTTAGAACACCTTCGTTGCGGTAAAACTTAATAAGTTTTTACCAGGTGTTTCTATAGTTGATAATTCGTCTTGTAATGTTAACCTTTTTCAGAGTTCTTGAGATTGTTAGTTTTTGCATTGTTTTTATAATGCGCGCCATCTGTTTGCTCGTTTTTAGAACCTTTTATTACAAATAAAACCATTTTAAACTCCACCGTCATCTTTCTCACGTTACCCCCTCCTTCGCATTTTAACAACACATGTCGGGGACGTAACAGGCAAAAAATAAATCTGTACATAAACATTACAGAACTGATTCAAGTTGGACAAACTAGCATGAATTAGAGAGATATGGGTTTTTCTAACGCTGATATGTAGAGGTCATGGTCAGCCGATGGCTGATTTGTGTTTAAGGTTTATTAAAGCCGATATCTGGACATTTTCTGCATTATTTGCCTGATAAATCTCACCAACAGTAGAGGCAGAAGATTTCTGAACCTGAATCAGCTTTTAAACACAGACTTTACCCAACTGTTAAATCTGCTCACCATTTAAATATTTTACCCACGTTAGTCAAACAAATGAATAAACTCTGCAAAAATTAAATGTACAAAACAACAAAAATGACAGTTAACAGTAATGTTTTAGAGCATTTACAATGCAGATGTTTTTCAGAAATGTTTAAATCAAATTTGGCAGCAGCACCGGGATGCTCGCCGGTATGCTTGACTTTAAATCAGCTCTACTAAAGAGGTGTACCAGCCGAGGGTAATTTATTAAAAACCAATAGGAAAATATCCGCCTGATATGTCAGCTGACTGAAATATAGGTCTATCCCAAAGATGAATAATAAAAGTAAAATGTCAATCTGTCTAAACAAAAGTAGTTTGTTAATTTTCTTTTATGAATTAATTGGTTTCAGTGCACTAGGTAAGGGAATCTTACAGGGGAATGGAGATAGTCTTATTTTGTAGTAAATTCAACGTTAAACCACTGAACATGAAAATAGTCTCCTACACTCATCTCCTGCAGTAGCTTCTGATAGAAAACAGACGGTGAAACTCTAGGATTAGAAAATCCTGACAGATCTACGTCACCCTGTCACTAACATTCATGGACTCACCCATCTTGGCTCCCGACGGGGAAGGCTGTTGTTGGATTAGCGTCCAGGAAACAGTAGAGAACGTCTCAGCTAGTAGAAGCTAACTGTTAGCATTAGCAACTCCAACACACAGCAGAACTTCTCCATGCTTGTGTTATTTGTGAAGATAAAATATCAACATTGCAGAGCGAACAGAGTCATTGATAGAGTTGTGTTGCTGTTAGCCAATCAGAGGAGAGATGTCCAAATATTAGGAAGTAGGACTTCATATCCTGTCGTCTGAAGCTCTCGCCTGATCTAGCAATCTTCTAGCTTCTGAAACAGGCGCACCAGGGTACAACTTAAGAGGCATTCATTCCAACTAGGGACCATTGCAGATGTATTGATTAAACAAGTGACCAACACCTTTAACACATGTGATGCTAAACTTTTTGTTTAACATTGAAATCAATAATTTATACATAAAAAAATAGCTTGATTTAGTCTAAAGTTACAGAAAATATCATATTAATGAAATAAGTTTAATAAGAGGAAATCCCACCCAATAAATTTGTGACTAAATGAAGAAAAAATAAGGATAAAATTAAAACTTAATTAGTTAAAAGAAATGTAATCTATGGTTTAGTAGAAGTTCAAAATAAAATAAAAATTAACTAGAAGTTGATATGAACAAAAAAAGCCAGGCCCAGCTTGACCAGTTTAAGTGACCGACTGATCTGAAACTCAAAAAATAACTTTCTTTTCCCAGGGCTGTGAACGCATCGTTTGCGGTAATGCTATGCATTAATTCATGCTAGCATTGGCATTTCCACATTGAAATTTTTACTACCGCAACCAAAAACGTTCTGGATATTCAGAAATAAAAACAAGATGGGTCTTTTTAATGAAAATCAACATATGCCAGAATCTTTACTGTCATGTTAAATTATTATTAAGGTCCTCAAAAACAAAGTCAATTATTTTTCTTTTTCAAAATAAATGAAATCTAATTGAAAACATTGATCATTTTATTATTAGTGGTGGTCGGAGGGAGCGTTGGCACCAATGTTCGGCAGGTTTCACCCAGGGCAGCTGTGGCTTCATAGTCGCTACATCCTCCACCAGCATGTGAATGGGTGAATGACTGTGTTGTGAAGCGCCCTGTTTTTTATAAGGTGCTACACAAATACAGGCCATTTATCGTGTCAGTTTAAACACAAGAATCATGAAGGAATTTATTTTATCACCATTTACAACGTATTAAACCCACAAATAGGGCTGGGCGATCATATGATCGCACTTTGTGATCACGATCCAGTGTTTCCCCTAGGAATTTTTCCAGCTGTGGTGGTGTTGGCGGGGGGGGGGGGGGGGGGGGGATATGACACGTCTCACCTTTATGTTTTATTTGATGCACTCCACTTTGAACTGCACCAATCCAGCGACTGCTGCATTGTAATAACTAGTATTAAAGGTGAGTACACCAATATTTGCACAATAATAATTTCTGTTTTAAACTCTCAGTGACACACTTTGCAGGGTGGATTTGGCATTTAAGTTTTCTTGGCGTCTGGAAAAACATCTTTTGCCCCCTTTATTTGACTCTCTGCCCCCTTTATTTTGGTCCAAGATCATTACTGGGCTGGCCCTAATAAAAACCTTCTACACCCCTGCTTAGTAGACTTAATGGAGTATTTTTAAGCCAGTATAAAAATGACTGAAACACAAATTTACTATTTGGCATTATTGACCAATATTTTTGATTTGATTTATTTGTTAAGAACATCAAGATGCATTACAATGAACATTATAATAAGCTGGACACTGCGACTTTTTCACTCGTAACACAGCTTCAGCTCAAACTGTACGACTTCAGCGCAGGGTAGATCTCACGAGTCATGTGCTCACACTGTACGTCTGGTAGCAACACGTCGGACCTAAAATATGCTAAAAATAGCAGTTTTTACACAACACGTCAGACTTTTTTGTCTTGTTTTGCCTGTTGTCCTTCGGGAGTGCTGCAGGAGGACACACAGGGATTTATGGGGGTTGGATGAGGAAACGAAATAAAGAAAGTAAATCTGTGTTTTGTGATCAGTTTAATTTGACATGAACACGACAAACACGCTTTCTTGACAATCTTTGTGAGTAAAAAAAACGTGTAGAAATAAAAACGAACAACGTGTGTTATTAGGGAAATAGCGGGCGAGCGGAGTTGATGCAGGATTGCAAATGCGCCGTGAGCGGTTCTGGTACTTTTTGGGTCGCAGCTGCTCGCTGCGCCGCTTCAACCCTCATGAGGAACGAGATAAATATTAAACACTCCGGAAGTCCGTGCGAGCTCACGATTGCTGATCGGTAGCTGGTCACGTGGTGTTAATCGCCTCTCGTAACCCCTCAGTACACTACACGACGCTCAGCGCAAAACTCGCCCCGATCTTGTGGATTCTCGCACGAGTGGAAAATCTGCTCAAAAAAGTGAAAAAGTCGCACAGTGCACGCCCGGCTTTACTGTCTGTGTGTGTGCGTTGATGCCTGGACCGAGCTGACGGAGCTCCCGGCTGCAGTTTTGCGTGTAGGGAGGGCCGGGCGCTCTATCTGACTGGCCAATCACAGAGCTTGAAGACAGCCAGTTACCCAATGAGAATTTCATTCAGCACGATTACAGATATTTCCGAGTTTTACACTCGTTTCATGCTCGTATTCGTCAAAAATGCTTTATCCGTACGCTCATAGCTGTAACCACCCTGCCGTGCCTCCTCCTCCTTGCTACCTGCCAAAGTTCTGGACCAGAGTTTCGAAATACCCAGCTGAAAGTATTTTTCTCAAACTGCACTGCCACAGCTGTATGACGAATGCAGAGAAAAGCTAGAGATGGAGCTCAAAGATGTTTCATTCTTTGCAACTACCACTGAGCTTTGGTCGAGTCGTTCATCTGAGCCATATTTGAGTCTAACAATACACTACAATGACAAGGAGGGGACTCTTCAAAGCACATGCCTGCAGACAGCATATTTTCCGGAGGACCACACAGCTGAAATCATCAGTCGGGGATGGAGGATGCACTGGAATCATGGAACCTGAGCAAAGACCGCCAGGTGTGCATCACAACAGATAACAGAGGCAACATAGTTAAAGCTGTTGTTCTCCAACGATGGACTCGACTTCAGTGTTTTGGTCACCGGCTGCACTCCGCTATAGGTAAGTAAATATCAAGAAAATTGTTCTACATTAATATATAACAATGCAAATAGAAAATATGCTTTTAGAGCTTTAAATATTAGGGGGATCTTATAATTACATTTAACAGGGAAGCAATGAAGCAAAGCTACAACAGGAGAACTGTTAACCTCCTGACACCTGAACCTGTATTTGATGTGATTTCAAAGAAAAAGTATATCAAACTATTACAGAGTAGTCTACACTCATTTAACGGAAACAAAATTACAAATATTAAAATAAAATAAAACTTAATAATTTGTCAAATTTCCTATAAAAAATAAAACTAAAAATGTTAGTTAATATCATGTGTCTATAAATAATAACAAAACGGTCTAAGGTGAAGATTATAGCATTTTATAGTGCAAGGAGCCAATGTCCACATATTCAATTCAATTCAAAAATACTTTATTAATCCCAGAGGGAAATTGATTGCTGTAGTAGCAGCTCAGAATAATAATAATAATAATCAAGTCATCAAAGAGTTGTTGTATATTACAATGGCTGTTGGCAGGAAGGATCTCCAGTAGCGGTCAGTGTTGCAGCGAAACTGAAGAAGCCTCTGACTGAAGACACTCTTGTGTGGACACAGGGCCCTAAGAGGTTGAAAAATATTTATCAGGACTCTTGCTGTACCATTTTGGATCAGCTGAAAGCTTTTTGTTGTCTATCTGACACTGAATGTACCCAGTTTTTGGTTATCCCTTGATTAATAGCATTTGAAAAAAATGCAAGCTAAAATTGTTTTATGGAGTTTGTAGGTTTTGCATTATGCAGTCTCTATGTCAATTCTAGTAATATTGAGATTTGTTAAGTTATTTAATATTTTTTTCAGGTGGAAGCATGAAAGACAAGAGGATTGAGAGAGCTGTTGGTGTGTCCAAAAAACTGGGCAGTGCTTTTTCTTACACACTGAAAAAGAAAAAAGCACTAGCAGCTGCCCAGGATGAACTGAAACTGCCAAAGCACAAGTTGATCAAAGAATCCCCCACCAGGTGGGGGTCGTGTCATGCAATGATTGCAAGAATTCTGGAGCAGGAGAAGACCATTGCAAAGGTTTTGTCAGATGATAGAAAAATCAGGCACCTGATTCCTTCATGGCAGGGCATAGATGTTCTAGAGTGTCCACAAGGCCCTAAATCCCCTGGTTGACTTTACTGACGCCCTTTCTGGAGAAGTTTTTGTCAGTGTCTCTTGTGTGAAACCTGTCCTTCAGGTCTTTAATGAAGAGGTCTTAAAGCCAGATGATACTGACACAGAACTTACCAAGGCCATCAAGAATTCAGTCACCTGCTACTTAAATGAAAAATATGATGATGATGTCACTGATGACCTCCTGAGCATGGCAACCCTTGTTGATCCTCGCTTCAAGTCCAACTACATCCAGGCTGACAAAATAGAGGTTTTAAAGATCAACGCTGTGTCTCAGATGTTGGACGAATGGAAGACTTCACAGTCCAGACCAACTACCTCAGCAGAAGCCACATCTTCAGCTACACCAACGAAAGTAACAAAAAAGACTCTTGGGACCTTTTTCCAAAAGCCCTTTGCTGTTTCCACGTCTGGTCAAACAGATGAACAAGCTGTAGAGGCTGAACTAAACAGTTACCTGCAAGTGCAAATGCAGACAGTGAAACCAATCCATTGGTATGGTGGAAGATCCACTCCCAGTGTTTCCATTACATAGGCGTAGCGGTGGTGGCCCACCATGGCTGACATCCCAGCGCCACGCCTACAAGATCCCAACTTTTATTGATTTTTTTTTTGCGCCGTTTCCCGAAGAAGCAGCGGGAACTACTCTGTTTTGCTTGTGATCACAGCCGGCAGGCAGGCAGCAAGGAGGAGGAGGCAGGGCAGGGTGGTTACAGCTAGGGATGAGCCGGATACTCACTTCAGACGAGTATCCGGTACGGATAAAGCATTTTTGATGAATACGAGCATGAAGCAAGTAAAACTCGTAAATATCTGTAATCGTGCTGAAGGAAAATCCTCATTGGGTAACTGACTGTCTTCACGCTCTGTGATTGGCCAGTCACATAGAGCGTCCGTCCCTCCCTACACACAAAACTGCAGCCGGGAGCTCCGTCCGTCCGTCCGTCACTCACTCACTCACTCACGCACGCACACACAGTAACGGATCTCTCTGTGCTTGCTTCACTGAGTGCGTTTACATGCAGCCAGTAACCCTTTTAAAACCCGAATATTCACAATAACCCGGTTCCGCAGGTCCATGTAAACACCGCCAAAAACCCGGATATGCTCATAACCGGGTTTTTAAAAACCCGGTTACTACACCTGGGGTAACCCTTTTCTAACCCGAATGTTTGGTCGTGTAAACGCATACCGGGATATCCCCATCAAAGCGTGTGTTCTGCGCATGCTCTGTTCGCAAGGAATCTTGGTCTTTTGAGTAGCGAGACGTCTTGTATGCGCCAGAACACCGGAAGTAAACAAGTTGGGAGCAACATGGCGAGTCGCGGCACAGCACCACACTTTTGGAGTGACGAGGAAACCTCGGTCTTCATCGATCTGGTGAAAAGTATGAACATTATGTCTTTTGTTGACGGCCGAAAGTACAGAGACAGCGAAATATACAAGAAGGTAACCGCATATTGTGTCTTGACGTAGTCCATACGTCCTGACGCTACCCCAACGTCCGCATTTAAATCGGGTTATGCAAGTTAGGGGTAACTCTTTCTATTTATGCTTGTAAACGGGTTATTCTGATCAACTCAGAAACCCGAATACCGACCTTAAAGAGCGGGTCAATTGAGCCTCGGAGTCCTTCTCCACCCACGTATCAATTTTAAAAAATGCAACATTAGTAGGCGTTGCCTGGAGGACCGAGAGGGCGGAGCCGCGGCAGTGACGAAGACGATGGCTAACTAGACGAAGCTAGCTCCCTTCACTCTGAGCAGTTATTAGAAGTGGAGGACGTTTCTCCCCCTCCTTACACAGACACTCGAGAAGAAAGGGACCAAGTCTATTTGGAGGAGACAAGCGGACCTGAGTCTTATTGTTTTGAGCTTGTGAGTTGCCTGAAACTCCCAGAACCGACCCAACAGAATCACCTCTGAAAGGTAAGTAGCCGTTAGCCATAGCATTGGATTAGCTGCAGGGTTTGTCTCCACGGCCCTAAAAAGCTAGTATTCAGCATGTTTTAGAGGTTTATCTGCTTCAGCACACCTGGTTTTAATCAGCAACAAATAGCTGAGCTGCTTAACAGCTAATCTAACCTGTTAAAGCAGGAAAATCCACTGAAACATGCTGGATAGCAGCTCTCCGGTAGCTCTGGGCTCAAGTTACAGTCTGCTGCATATAAAGTTATGAAAATACCCCATGAGAAAATTATTCTGTAATGTGTTCAGCCCACTAAAACTGCCCTGATTTCTTTATTTATTTACTGATAACAGCTGCTCTCTTGGTTCTAGGTCCTCTGGTGTCTGCAGCTGGTCTCCTCTGCTGGTGTCATCAGGATCAGGAACTTTCAGAAGAACGTGCCTTTCAATGACTCTTTCCCCCTTATTTGTTATATTAATTAAATAAATCTCAATTTATATATTTCCTGTTTTTGTTCATGTCCATAAATACTTAAACATGCTTGAAATTAGAACGAGCTTTTAACAGTGAGGTGCTAGTTTAATTAATCACAATAGCTAGTTAAACATGCAACAAAAATGTGATATTCAATGTAATTTATAAATATCCATTAAAATATCAAAACGAATCTAAATGAGATATTTGGCAGCACAAAAAACTTGTCAAACACAATATTTATTATAATAATTGTAGGCAGACAGGAGACAGAGCTGATGGAGGTTCTCAGTCATCGAAGGATGGCTGAAGGCTTTCCAGGAACAGGAGATGTGGTGTTGTCTCTTCTCTCTCTATTCAGCAGGATGAGCTGATAGGTTACAGGTGTGTGAGGACATCCTCAGGTTACAGGTGTGTGAGGACATCCTCATGCTGTCATAACCAGATGACAGGGGTTATCAGGTGATCAGCCAGGCTAATGAGATGCAGAAAGAAAACAAATTCAGGACAGTGTACAATATGTGGTGTTGCTCACCTTATGTGCTCTTATAGAATATTAATGTGTGCATGCCTCATGGTGTAGAGTCCATATTTTGCTGAGTGTCTTGCAATAATGCAGGTTATTAGGCCCGAGCAGCGAAAGCGCTGCGAAGGCCTCTTGTTTTTGCTCTGATTATTATTATTAGGCCCGAGCAGCGAAAGCGCTGCGAAGGCCTCTTGTTTTTGCTCTGATTATTAGGCCCGAGCAGCGAAAGCGCTGCGAAGGCCTCTTGTTTTTGCTCTGATTATTAGGCCCGAGCAGCGAAAGCGCTGCGAAGGCCTCTTGTTTTTGCTCCGATTATTATTCTTTCTTTTTTTGTTATTCCGTGCCACCTTTGAATGGCTTTTTGGGGACCTTAACATACCCCAAAACTCACAATATTTTGCAAACTTGTCAGGCCTGGTGAAAAATTTGATATTTGAAAGGTCCCAAAAAAATCGCAAAGAAAATGGCTGAACAGCGCCCCCTACAATGTGAAAAAAACCCCTCTCCATAAAGCTTAGTTTATCGTACAGTTATGAAATTTGGTACACTTGTAGTACTCAACAGTCCGCACAGAAAAGTCTCTTGCAAGCATGGTCAATATCAAACAGGAAGTCGGCCATTTTGGGTTGAAATGGCGATTTTTGGCCGTTTTTGCCGTTTTTAGGGTCAGTTTCTGATTGGATTGCTCGATCATTTTTCGCACGATCGTCTCAAAAATGGTATAAAATTGCTCAGAAGAAATGGCCGAACAAAATGAGACAAGGATTCTGAGTTTTCGTATATGTTGAAGGGGCGGGGCCAGGCCTCGAAGTTTGACTACTCGCCAAAAAAATTAAAACTGCTATAACTTCATAATTGAATGGAATAGAGTTACCAAACTTTCTGTGGTCATTCGTCATCTACCCACAAAGTAAAATGAATGGTCGGATGATGACATCACACAAGCCCCGCCCCCTCAGGACCTAAAAGGTCAAGTTTTACTATGAAAGGTCCCAAATGGCCCCATTTCACTCAATCCCCACAAATTTGTAGCTGTTAACTCAAGACAAGTGAGGGTTGCTTGGCGTCACTTTATGGGAGTTTTCGACAGAGGGCGGGGCTGTGGCGGCGCGGCGAAGTCAGGCGTACCGCCGTGGCCTTACGTTTGCCTCCCATTTCGTCATTTCTAAAAATATCGTCACGAAACTTCTTGTGAGTGATCCTAGTCCGGCCCCCCAAAAGATCTGATGTGAACATCCGGTGGGCGTGGCCTATTTTCTGAAATAGCGCCCCCTAGGACCATTAAAACTGTCAGCCCCAAGCCATGCTTTGACTGAGGATTACGAAATTTGGTACACTAATGTGGTGTCTCAGGACCTACAAAAAAGTCTCTTGGACCCAAGTGCAAAGTCGTACAGGAAGTCGGCCATTTTGGTCCAAGTACGCGATTTAGTGGTTTTCGCACACGTTGTTTGGAGAGTGATGCTCCGTCGTCCTTTTCACCAATCTCCTTCAAACTTCTGCCATATGCTCTTAAGTCATAGGGGAAAAAATTCA